CCTTCCTTCCTTCCTTCCTTCCTTCCTTCCTTCCTTCCTTCCTTCCTTCCTTCCTTCCTTCCTTCCTTCCTTTTCTTTGTTGTTTTATTAAATACACATAAATAACAGAAAAATACTTCTTTAGGAAGTGGGAAGCAGTCATACAATATATGTGCATTAAATGTATGTTCACTTAAGCTAGTGATTGTGTTACATTTCATTTTGATTCTGTGGCTTGCAAGAGACATGATGATTTTTTTAGCCTTTTTGGTTTGCTTTACTTAAAAAGAAAAAAGAAAGAAAGAAAAACTCAATACTGGTGCATTAAGCTTCCTGGAAGCTGAAGTTATCTACAGGTATTTGTGTGTGTGTGTCTGTGTACTTTTAAAGGCGAACACTGCCATTTTGCCACTAAGTTTTGACCCCATAATCTTGGAGATACTAGAAATGGGGCTGCTGGATCTCTTGCATACCTCAATTCGGTTTTTGTCCACTCCAACATAAGGCTAATTATTACTCAGTGCAGGTGAACATATGAGTATGTTATAGCAGCCTTTCCATGCTAGCTGCTAAATTAGGACTCATACTACTGGTTGTTGTTTGTAAATATGTAAACAAAAAAAATCAAACTCTTTCAACGGAAGGGAAAAGCAGAAAAATTTGAAGTCCATTTGAAATGTTTTTCTTGAGACAATGTGCAATCTACATTGTATTACAATGGTTGTTTGACTATGGTAATTTCCCAAACCCAGTTACAGATCTGGGTAAGTGACAAAATGATAGATTGAAGACAATTATATATCATAGGAAACCAAGAAGCATTCTAACTTGAGTTCCAGTAAAGCAGCCAAATTTTCTGACTGTATAGCACCTTGTTTTTCTTATGATAACATTATTTAAAACAAAAAGTCTATAGTTACGGAGTTTTCTTACAACCATTCATAATCAGTAGAATGTATAAAGTACCTCATGCTGACTAGGACGTCTCCATCACGGAATATAAATAGGAGAATATTTTCTTGAGTGACATCATGGAAGTTAGCATTCTTTTCATTTGCAAAGAATAGATCAGGCTTCCACAGACATTTAAACATGGTAGGATCCACTGTTAGTGATTCAGATCCTTTCCAGTCAGTGGGCAGCTTAAGTCGAGGATCATTCCATTTCTGTCTTAAGAAGATGTTAACCCTATAATCCTGTTTGAAATATAGTAAGCATATTACATTATTACTATTAGATTAAAATCTTAACTTTGCATCTAAAGAAAATAATCAATATACTCAGTTGCCAGAAAAGTCAGCAACAATATGCAAAGCTTAAATCAAGAAACACATTTAGATAGTCCATATATGTCTATTTAATTTATTAATTCATTCATTCATAGAAAAGACTTATATAGCTGCACATCTTATGTACCATTACTTTGGCGGTTACAAAACAACAACAAAAACATAAACACTGTAAAAACTACAACAATCCCCAGCACCGAAAGGCAACACCTCTCTACACATCCACATTGGACTGTCCTGGACTCCAGCGTTGCTCTATCCCAGTGCTACTGGGACTTCTGGGTGGAGAAAATGGCAGACTAACATATCTCTGCATAGCAGGAATGATGCTGAGGCAATGTGATGGAATGTGAGGGTAACCTTGGAAGATGGGGGGAAGAAATGCTGCCTAGGGAATGATCAGATAAATGAGGAAGGAGTCCACAACAGAGTAATGGCTAGAGAAAGAAACTTAGGAAGGACCCAACCTAACTACTCAGGAAGTAAATAGGGAGGGCGGAAAATTTGTACTTTCAGGTTTGCAAGATTCTATTAATGTAGCCTTACAATAAAGTAGAATTGGCTCCTCTAGTCATGTTTCCTGTCTGGTTTACCTGGGAGGGCTGACAGGCAAAAACTGGCAGCCAGGTGGCAAGCCTGGGCCAGCAGAGCTTCTCTAGACAAGGAGAAGTCATGAGATCACCCACTTGGGCTTCAGAAGGCAGCTCCTCATGAGGAAACCAGGAGGATCTGGAGGGAGAGCTCCTCATGAGGAAATCAGGAGACTTGTGGGTAGAGTGCCAGCAGCTGCAGAGGAAATCATCAAGCTCTCAGCCTCAAGCAGAGCCTGCTTAAAGGTCACTGGGTTCATGTAATCCATTTCTATTGCACATTGGAACAGAGATTTAAAGTTTAAAGTTATAGAGATCTTCCAAGCAGCAGAGTACCTTAAGCTACCTGGTGAGTGCATCTTCGAGCCACGGGCAAGATTAAAGTAAAAACTTAGAAAATAATTCAATTGATTTATAAAGAAATAAAAGCAAAAAGCTTGTCAAGTATTTGAATTAAGAAAGTTAAAAACAGACTAAGGGGACAGTTAAAATTGGAACATTATTTATTTTAAAGTACTTATGAATTCATTAATTAATTAAATACATATACGTCCATGGGAAAGAGGATTGGTTAAAGAGGATGATTGGCTGACTTCATTAAACAAAGAGATAAGGCAAATTGGAAGGTGTGAAAGACCACGTGATTACAGAAATACAGAGCACTGAAAGAAAATAAAGAGTTATAATACAGAGATAGAGAAAAACTTTTACTTCCCCTTCCTGGATTATAAATTAGAGAAATAAAAATGGCCAGTACCAGAAAAGCAGCAAAAATTACAGAAGAGAGGAGAGGATCATTTACAGATAGATTAACAGAAAAAGGATTATGCCAGAAATTTTACAAAGAATGTTTGAAGAACTGGGGAAGAATGTCACAGCATCAATAACTGCATCAGTGACTGAATCAGTAACTGCATCAGTGACTGTATCAGTTAAAAGGGATCTGGCTATACCTGAAGGGAGAATGGAGGAAAGAGTTACAAATATGGAAGAAATTATGAATAAAAAATTTGAAGAATCTGTAATACAGATAAGTGGAAAGATTAAACAAATCAAAGAAAAAATAGAAATTTTGGAAAATAAGACAGAAAAAATAAATCAAGAGATGGAAAAAGATCTAGACAAATTGGCCTTACTGGAACTAAGAGAGAACATATTTAGTTTAAGACAGAGACCAATTCCAGAGGAACCTGGTGAAGATATTAGAGAGAAGTTTGTTGAATCTCTAACAAAATTTTTAGAGTGGGATTAAGAAGATAATGGATGCAGAAGTGGACAAGGTATACAGAACTAATACAAGATAAACAAAATTAAGAACAATACCAAGAGATATACTTGTGCACTTTGTCAGGACGAAGATAAGAGAACAGGTTCTATAACAACATTTAATACTAGGTTAAGGATAAATAATTCAGAAATAATTCTTCTCAAAGAAATACCTATCAGAACACTGTGTAAGAGAAAAGAATATACTTTTCTGACTGAGAAACCTAAACAGAAAAAGATACCATTCTGCTGGGACAAATTGGAAGAAGTGATTTTAACTTTTAAGTAGCAGAGATGCTGACTTAATTTAGTCCAAAAGGCAAGAGAATTCTATGAAAGGTTCAAAGAGGAAATGGAGATGTAACTAGAGCAAAAGGAAGGAACTAAATAACAAATACAGCAAGACAATGAGGAAGAGACAATGACATTGGGTGCTACAGGTATAGACTATTCTAAGCTTATGACATAAATATGGATTTTAAATGCCTAACGTGGAATATATGTAGGACAAACACCCCACAAAAAAAGAAGAAAGGTATTTCATTATTTGAAAAAATTAAAACAAGACATAATTTGCCTACAGGAAACACATGTAAGAAAAAAGAATTAAAAATATTGACTTATAAAAATTTGGGACAAGAATTTATTTTGGCAGGGACAACCAAGAAAAATGGAGTTGTTTTGTATATAAATCCACAGTTAGAACCAGCATTGATAATGAGTGATGATCATGGCTGATATGTAGGAGTTGAGATTAATTTGAATGAAACTAAGATAATGATATTGAGAATATATGCCCCAAATGATAACAAACCTATATTTTTCAAGGGACTGAATTGATAGAATTGTCATATGACAATTGGTGTTTCTTGTGAGATTGAAATGGAATGGTTTGCCCACAAAAAGACAGAACCTTTTCAAAAAAAATTAACACAAGGCAAATTACTGAAAGTATTTTTTGAAATGATGGATAACTTTGAGCTTATAGATATATGGAGACATAAAAATGATTATTTCAAAGAATGTACATATTTTCTGAAAGACACAGATCTTTTTCAAGAATAAATATGTTTTGGATTTCTAAAAATCTTGCTACATGTATTAATAAGGTGGATATATTGCTAAAGTGTTCAGATCACAACCCAGATATAAGAGGAAAGTTAGAACTTACAGATGGAGGCTAAATGAAACAGCTACAAAAAGAATCAATAAAGGAGTGCTGTAAAAAGAAACTGAAAGAATAATAAAGGCACTGATATAAGGACAGTATGGGATGCTGGTAAAGACTTTATGAGAGGACAATTTATACAACAAAATAGCAATTGAAAAGACAAAGAGAAAAGAAGATGCAAAAGATTTTAATGGAGATAAAAATGAAAGAGGAGGAATTAAAGAGGTCTCCAGGAAGGAAAAATATCTCACAACAAATTAAACTTCTACAATGCCAGCTTTTTGTGTTAAGATTAAAGAAATGGAAATAAAAATGGACTTTGCAAAAAGAATTTTGAGTTAGCAAATAAGCCAGGGAAATTGTTAGCATACAAATTGAGAAAATAAAGTGAAAAGAATATATTAAAATGACAAAATGGGAAAGTTATGGTAACAGGTAGTACAAATATGCAAACAATATTTCATCAGTATTATACAAAACTTTATAAAAGAGAAGAAATTTCCTTGGCAAAAGTGGATGAATACTTAAAGAAACATAATTTACCAAAGGTAATGGATAAACAAAAGCAGGTGATGAATGGACCTATAATAATAAGGGAAGTCTGTGAGGCTATAAAAAAGACTAAATTAGGGAAAGCCCCTGGTCCAGATGGGCTACCAGCCTCCTATTATAAATATTTTGAAGATGTATAGGTACAACTTCTTCAAAAGATGATAAATTCCATTTTAGACAGTGGAAGGATCCCAGAAAGTTGGACAGGTACAAATATACCATTAATTCCTAAAGAAGGCCAAGACCCAATTTTGTCAAAAAAATTATTGACCAATATCTTTACTGAATAATGATTAAAAAATATTACTATGATTTTAGCTGAAAGGATGAAAAGGGTCAGGTAGTGCTTGACTTACAACCACAATTGGGACTGGAACTTCTGTCACAAAGAAATATGGTCATTAAGTGAGTCATGCCCAATTTTATGACCTTTTTTGCCATGGTCGTTAAACAAATCACCCAGTTTTTAAGCGAATTCAGCTTCTCCCATTGACTTTGTTTGTCGGAAGCCCCCTGGGAAGGCACAAATGATGATCACATGACCCTGGGATGCTGCAACTGTCAGGGAAGATTGGTTTCGTATATGGTAACTATAGCAAGATTACTATATGCACAAGGATGGAGAAATACTGAAACACCCACAATGGAGGAATGGGTTGCGAAGATGACAGAATTTGCAGAAATGGCAAAATTGACCTGTTGTGATCAGGGATAAAACAATACATACTTTTATAAAAACTGGAACACTTTTATGGACTTTTTGCTGAAAATGGGGGAAAAAATGAAGTAGTGATTTCTGGATTTGCTGATTGAAAAAAGGGTTGAATATGTGACAGAAAGGTACCTTGTAATATAATTTCAAAGAGGGATAATAAGTTTCTTTGTAACTGATATAAAGGAGATTGGAAGTCACTTCTTTAATTATCTTTTTCTTTTTTCTTTTTCTACTTGTATTGCCTTCTGCACTTTTTCTTTTATCTTTTTTTCCTAACTTTTCTAACTTTTCTTAATATGTTTTCATGTTTATTTTTTACTCATGTAAAAATCTTTAATAAAAATTATATTTAAAAAAAGAAAAAGGAAATATACTAAATAGTTTCCACCAACACTATTCCATATTTATTTATTTAAATAATTTATATGGCTGCCATATAAGGTGGCATACAAGGATTAAAACAACTAAAATGCTGACTAATTATGCCCGAGTTAAATCCCAATCAGAAAAACCACATTATCATCAGAGTCTGCCTAACCTCCTGGCCCAAATGCCTGGGGTAATAGCCAGGTCTTCATCACTTAGCGAAAAGCTAACAGGGTCAGGGTTATCTGGATCTCTGGATGCCACAGAAAAGGCACCATTCCTGGGTCCAACAAGAGGACAGTTTGATAGAGGGGCCTGGGAACATGCCCTCTCTGTTAAATCTGGCAGGGTGAACAGAGACAATGGGAGAGAGATAGTCCCACAAATAGCCTGGCCCTATGCTATGTAGGGCTTTATAGATGATAACCAACATCTTGAATCACACCCGGAATCTTACCCAGTGCAGCTTGCAGAGCAGTGGAGTTATATGAATGTAACAAGAAATGCCAAAAGCTACCTATACACTGGATCAGCTGCAGCTTCCAAATGGTCTTCAAGGGCAGTCCCATGTATGGCAGTCCCATTCAGAGCACATTATAGTAATCCAAATGGCTTACTATAGTTACTTACGTGACTAAGGCATGAATTGCTATAAGCAAGGCTTGCCAGTCTAGGAATGGGCACAATTGGCGCACAAGATGAACCTGTACAAAGGCTCCCCTATGGCTGCCACCTGCTTATCAAGCAGGAGCCTTGATTCCAAGAGGACCCCCAAAGTGTGCACTGACTCTGACTGCAGAAGTTAGAGATGACTGCAGAGTTAAGGACAGAAGATCTCCAGATCTGGGAGGCTTAAAACCCACAGCCATTCAGTCTTGCTAAGGTTAGATACCCAGATGCCAATCCCTATCAAGAACCTCACAGTGTCCAGGCACTGGTAAAGGACCTCAGCAGCATTGCTTGGTCAGCCCAGGGTGTAGATATACAACTGGGTATCATCAGCATACTGATGATACTACATTCCATGCCAACAGATAATTTCACCTAAAGGCTTCTTGTAGATATTAAAGAGGAGTGGTGAGAGAATGCAGCCCACAAAGCAAGGGCCTTGAGTTCAATTTGTCCCCCCCACCAACACAGACTGCAACTGGCCCTAAAGCAAGGGGAACGCAGTGACTCCCACTCCCAATCCCCTAAGCCAGGCCAGAAGGATATCATGATGATGCTATCAAAGGCTGCTGAAGGTCAGGTAGGGCCAGGATGGATGTACTACTCCTCTCCTGAGCCTGCCAGAGGTCATCAACAATGAAATCAATGCTATCTCAGCACTATAACCAAGCTTGAAGCTTGACTGGAACGTGTCTGGATAATCTACTTCTTCCAGGGCCCTCTGGAACTATAAATCAGCCAGTTTCCAAACAATCTACCTTTTTAGAGGGAGATTGGCCCAAAATTGTCCAGATCCCTGGGTCCAGTGATCATTTCTTAAGGAGGGGGCAGACAACTGCATCTTTCAAAGACAGAACCACTTGCTGCTGCAGAGAAGCATTCACCACTGCCCAGACCCAACCACATATCACCTCCTGGAAACCTTAATCAGGCAGGAAGAACACATCTAAAACATAGATGACTGACCGCACAGCATAGAACCCTATCTAATTCATCTGGGCTGACAAGTTCAAACTCTTCCTAGATAACTAGGCCAGACTGTGCCTCAGGCAATAGCAAAGGACCTGTATAGCTGGATTCCAGCTCTAAGCAAATTTGATCAACTTTATCTGACAGTTGGCTTGTATAGTCCTCAAGGTGGCCCTGTAGGTATTTCTACAGCCCCTCCTTAGCCAGAACAGACCAGAGTACCCTGAACAGAGCTATGAAGCAAGGAGGCTGGTATACAAGCAACAGTCTCTCCTGATCTCTATAGCCTACCTTCCCAAACTTCATACCTTGCAACCTGCAGAGCAGTGCTCCTGAAGCCACTAGAGTTCTTAGAGATTACAATTACTCCAGCCCTGGGTCCATGGGTGATGCTACACATGAAACCTGGCTGGGCACATCTCCAAGTGAGGAACTGCTCCCTCCCCCCAATTTTGATAATGCAAACAAGGTTAGCCCTCAAATTTACAATTAGATCATGGATGAGGCCAGCTATGTTACAGACTGACCATATAAAACAGCAGCAGCTAGGAGCCAGGGTCTCTGAAGCCCTGGATATCAGGCCTTGGGCAGAGTATATCTCTTCATACCTTTCTATCTTTGCAAACCACACTTTCTTTCACCATATTCGTATACCTTCATGCCTTGCTTTTTGTTCTTTAAACTTCTCACTGCTGTCTTCCTGACAATCTCATCAACTCCAACCATGACTTCCTTAGTCTTCCCTTTCGTCTCAAAAAAAAATTAATATTATTTCATATACAGTGGAACCTCGAGTTACGAATTTAATCTGTTCTGTGACTCTGGTTGCAACTCGAATTGGTCGCAACACGAGGCAAATTTTCCCAT